TCCTCTTGAACACAAAATCTGGTACATACATACAAGAAATATGGGACTTGAGTTTGAGCTTGAACTTGAGCTCAGATAAAAATGACTTCTTCCTGGAGAGAGCCTTGCTTGCGGTACATTCAACTTGTCCATGGTTTCATTCCCTTTTTCGTTGGTTGATTTGTTTCTAACTAATATGCTTTTATTGGTTATAAAAAAGTTGGTACAAAACTGCGCTTAGTTTGTTGTAATTGGCAATGGAAAGATTACTCTGCATTTTTTGTCTTTGATAGGAGCTTGAAAACATCCTCCAGGATTGCATACCTCCAGAGCAGTGAGCCTATACCTATCGATATTTATATATACACTTATATATATACCTGATTGCAGAAAGATAGTAGTATACATTTATACATACAGTATATCTAATGAGATGCAGAATACCAAATGAGATGCAAAACTTAAAAAGTAACTTATTTAGTCTTACTTATCTTCTATCTTCTTCTGAGAATTTCTTGCACAAAGTCAAGTCGTAAAAATATTTTCCGCAATATTTCGTGTTTTCGCTCTTTTGTCGATTCTGCAAACCACAAAGGAGCGAGAACTACGACTTATGGAATGAGTCTATTCGTGGTTTTTACAATCTGCATCTGTACCGTGAGACAAYGAGTGAGTAACAAACGAGATAAAACAATGGAATTAGTGTTAACAACTATGTACTATATRCTTACTATTCTTTCACGGGCCAAGTAAAATCATTCTACCTATATAATATGCCCTACCTACTCTATGACCAGCATACTCTGTCCAGCAGATCATTCCCTCTCCAGGGACCACGACCCTGAAGGCCATCTCTTTCGGTATTTCTTTCAATGGACTCTTCTTAAAATTGTCTTGAAGCTAACATGGAAATACAAAAGAAATGCCACAAATTCATCGAGAAAAAGTGTGATTTCTTTTGCATTTTCATGCCATTTAGCCTCGCATGGACGATACTTTTGAGAAGGGTCCATTGCAAACACACCTATAGAGGCTTAGCACCATTACTTGATCGCAACCATGACAGGAGGCAGGAACACTGAATGGGCCTTTTGCATGATGGCGTCATTTTACTACCATAACCAAAATGCTTCGCTAATTTTCTTTCTTATTCAAATTTTTATATTTCCTCGTGAGAATAGTAAGACAATTGGTGCTAATTAACTGAACCAAAAAAGTGTGCAAGGGAGTCTGGTAGTGGTAGTGAATGACGCTATAATGCAAATGACCTATTGAAACTGGTCAATTCTGATTTACATGGCTACCATCACGTGATGATGCAAAGCCCCTAGGACTGGTTTTCAATCTCGCCATATTGTTAAGYTACATTTCATTTGAAAACGTGAAAATATATTAAGCGRTTATTAAATTATAACAAATCTCGAAAAGCAGTACTATAGCTCGCTGTATTAGTATTAAAAACTGAGTGTGTCTACTTCTGTTAATTCAAGCAGGTCTGTTACGTTGCTATAGAAACTGTTGTCTTCCATTTACTCTCCAAGCAAATCAATGTTTATCTCCCCCAGTCTCCCTCATCCTAAACTTAAACGGAACCGGAAATAAACTTTGTTTGATTACTTTCTCCGGAAACTCGACAGAATGCAAAGTTCCCCTGTTCTTATGAAATGCAAACCGATGACAGGAGGCAGGAACATTTCTGACTTCGTAGAGAAAAGTCGTCGCTGATTGGTAATTTTCGGATGTAGTTCAATGCTCATGTCACTAGCCAATATCATGGGAAAATTTTCACAAAGCTTGGTTTAATCATGGAGACTAATTGGTGAAGCACAAAACTTGTAAACTCAGTTGCTATTCTGAAACTAGCCGTTATATGCCAAAATTTAGTTAAGGTCTATGATATGTCTTGAAGGCAAATACATATATACATACAAGCTTTATCATAGGCGAGTTAAACAAATACTTGGTTTCCAATCTAGAAATAGAAAACTAAATAAGAATGCATGACTGCTGATCACATTGCATTTCAAATCAAATTCTATTGGTGTATGGCACATGATGTGTATCGGTATATGTCAATAATTTAAAATTTTTATTGTTATGACAGGCAGACGGCTGAAAAATTAAAAATAAACTTTTTAAAACCAATTACAACACAACATAATTTTCTCATGAGACGTCATCATTTTCATTTTCACTAAAGACACAAAGGCGTTGTTTCTCAGTGACCGTACGTCTGAAACCTATTGAATAACTTCAAGACGTTTGAGGATTATGCATGGAGAAAAACAATTGGAAACTCTGAACAAAACTTCAGCGCTGGAAGGGTCAAATATCGATCTCAGAATCGTGCATGTAATTATGGATTATTATTTTGACTGCATGTTATGAGTTATGTTATGCTATGCTAAATGCAAATTTWWTGACAAACATCTTTAGTTTGTTGACTTGCAGCTCTCTCTGGATCAGGAAGGCTTTAATCCATTTACGGAAAAGGTAACTATGGAATATTTGGTTGAGCTGAAACATATTGTGAAAAGGAATTTTATGTGAAATTTCGTCGATTTAAAAGTTAGTGCGATGATATATCTCCTGATTTTAATTTCTCTTCATTTGTTCTGTGCTCCGATCCATTGAACATATTTGATGACTGGCTTCAGTTCCAGGAAATGCCGCTACAAGCCGTGCGAGTAAATAGAACTCAAAAGAAGTTGAAAAGAAAAGGTATGCATCCATAAGACTCTGATTTATCCGCTTCATTTTTATCCACTTCAGTCACCAAATCTAAATTCCTATAAGTATAAAAGTTATGCATTCGTAAGACCCTGATTTATCCGCTTCATTTCAGAAAAGAAATAAAGGCAAAATATATTTCGTCCATTAATATTTTTATTCACGTCAGTCGCTAAATCTAAATTCCTTTGATTTTTGACGATCTTTGACGATGTTTGTGCTATCTATTGCTGTGACTTTTCGCTTTGAACGTTTTGGAAWAGGAATTAAAGTCGACGCGAGTTCCTCAAAGTCAATCAAGTATATATAAACCAAGAACTATTTGGTTTAAAGTTTGACGATGTCACACTGATACTGAGTCGATTAGCTATCGACATTATGTTGAAAAAGTAAGAAAAATCATTCTTAGTCATCGTGGATTTTTTGATTTTTTAAAACAGAGTGACAATGTCGCTATAGCTTTTAGTTTTGTAGATTAAAAAATAACCTTTGTCGTGATTTTTATTTATTTTGACATAGGAATCGAAGAAGAAGGCCACTTGCGTAGGATAGAAAACGAGTAAATACGGACTCTGCTATTCCGTCAAAAGCGATGAAATGGCGAACAAGTTATGTCAGTAAACAAAAGAAA